GTGTTGTCCAGTTTTACCTTGGGGAAGAGCACCTCATTTCGTTGCACCCACTTGTGAGCGCAATGACAAATAAATTTCTTATGTCTTCTTATGTCTTATGTCTTAAATGGGTAGAAACACTGACTAATCAAAAAATAGAGATTAATGAAACATTATTGTTATTTTCATTATTCACAGGGGGAAATGAGAAACTACAATATAAAGAATTAGTTGCAAATCTTACTGTATAGGCACCGCAATATCCGAAATAGCTAAAAATTGGAAAAAAGCCCAAGATCTCTCACTGCAAGCATTCACAAGTAAAATATGGCATACATTGCTGATGGAAAAAATGACTAATAACGTTAGAGTACATAGAGGAGAAATAAGCCGTAGTAAATTCACGGAAAACTGGAAGCCATTATTAAAATATGCCGCTAAAATAGACTTTGAGACATGTGGTTTGAAAAGAGACTTAGATTGTTGGTCAATATTTCTTTAAAAGGTGATGGGGAGAGGTATATATGTGATTTGGAGAAATGTGGGGAATAGTTTTGTATTTAATATTTGTAATATGGTCGATTGTCTTTTCATTCTTTAGAAATAAATAAATTTTAAAAAAACTGAAGCTCACTGTTTATATGCTGCCTGTTTTAAACTGTCCCTGCCCTTTAACTCACCTTTCAAAATGATTCTTCTCTACCCCCTCCTATTTCTTGCTTATTTCTATCTTTGTTGCTTTTGTGTATGTGTGTGTTATTGGGTTTGTTTTTTTTTTGCATTGTTCCTTTTTTTAGCCTCCATATTAATTCTTCTCTTCCGGCAATTCTTTTTCAGCTGCTACTCAGATAATTATTTTCTGTCTATTTTTCAACAGCATTATAATTGGAACATAATATAATTGCATCTACAGGGTGAAGTAATGCCTGCCTAACTGTTTTTTTCTTTGTTTTAAAATTGTTTTTAATCCTGGTTTTAATCTTGATATATGTATAATTGTTTTGTATCTATAGGGTATTTTGCACCGTCTTTCAAAACTGTTGAGTGCTGTATAGTTTTAGCTGTAGTGGGCTGACCTGGGTTCACCATGGGTCCATGTGTGGAAAGGTGACATATAAACAAACAAACAAACTGCCGCCGTTGCAAGAATAATTTTATGATGTTACCGCCAACTGTAAGAGCTACAGTAACAGTTGTTGTGGGTTTTTTGGGCTCTTTGGCCATGTTCTGAAGGTTGTTCCTCCTAACGTTTCGCCAGTCTCTGTGTCCGGCATCTTCAGAATACAGAGTGCTATCCTCTGAAGATGCCGGCCACAGAGACTGGCGAAACGTTAGGAAGAACAACCTTCAGAACACGGCCAAAGAGCCCGAAAAACCCACAACAACCATTAGATCTCAGCCATGAAAGCCTTCGCAAATACAGCTACGGTAACCTTTTTGCCAAAGCAGCATAGAGCTGTTGTTTTTTAAAAAAATAATTATTGTTCTGAATTTTTTATTTGCATCATTGCTGAAAATGTTCAGTAATCTTGGAGTGAGAAAGTGATAAAACAGGAAGACAACTCTAAGAATATCTCACTGTTTTCCAAGGCATGTAATTTTACTGACAGGGAATTTTCTCCCTTGTTTCTCAGCACATTTGATCATGTCATGTTTGATTATAAATAATCGTTAATGCCAGTCAAGAGAGTTTTACTGCATTCATTTGGCATTTTGAGACAAGTGACTAAAATTATGTGACTAGTTCTCTGCTTTTTCTATATAATTAATTGTGGTTAGAGCTGTGTTTTTGCCTTTCAAACAAGTATACAGTAAAAGTGATATTTTTTTTATGTTCTATATAAAAATTGCTAGGCCTACATCCTTGTTCTTCAAGATGCCAAGGACACATAGTTCATCTTATATTCCACCAACAGCAATGGGAATTCCTTTTAAATAAGTGTATTCAGGGCTGAGTTGTAACAGAGAATAGCCTTGTTCAAGTTTAGCACCAGACTGTAAATTAATGTTGTTATTTGTGGTCTCAGTGGCTGACATGGGTTTCTGTGTTATTCAGAATCTTCTAGAGCTGAGTTGAAGGGAAGTCCACCTCTACACTTTTAAGATTGCATTTTTCCCCTTTTAATATTGCATTTTAAATATGTGAGCTGCCTTGGGTCCTATTTTAGGAGAAAGGGCAGGGTAAAATATTTGAAATAAAATAAAACAAAACAAAATATCTTCCAAATTGCACCTCAGCTTCAGTTCAGTGGTTCATTTTTGTTCACCTGAATGATATGTTCTGGAGCACTCTTTATTGCTGTCAGACAACAAACAAACACAAAAAAGAAGAAACGAAAAACATTGTGGCACCTTAAAGATTAACTGCTGTATTTTAATGTGTGCTTTTATGGATCAAGTCCACTTCCTCAGACGTAAGAGTGAGACTGTATGACTCTGATATACATGATCTCATGACCACGTGCACAGATAGTGGACAAAGGGACAATGGCTCATTAGTAAAAGAATAGTAGCTGTTGGGCTGTGAATAATGTCAGTTGTCAGACTACAAGGTAACAATAGCAGAGTTGACACAAGTGGCAAACTATGTGAATCAATGTAGCATTTCACATTTGGTAATGAATTAAGAACTCTTGATTAATATTCAGTCCTTTTAAGTGCGTCTCTAGCATCCATATATATCTTATCTCAGCTGTTTCTCTTTGAAGTCTTGTTTTGAACCCTCCTAGGAATAGTGACTTTCAAGTCATCCAAAGAATGTCCCAGTATTCTGAAATGTTCTGAAATAGATGTATTGTGTATTGCCATTCCTGATGTCAGATTTGTATCTATTAATTCTTTTGCACAGAGATTCTCCTATGTAGAATGCAGAAGGGCATTGTTGACAAAATATAACATAGATCATATTAGCAGAGGAACAAGTAAACATGCCTCTGATGTTGTGTGTGATATGGGGGGGGGGTTGCTCTAGTGTCTTGCCAGAGTAGATGTAAGGACTGCGCTGGCATTTGGGTTTGCAGCAGGGTCCATTGTGTGTCAATAGTTGCTTAAGATTAGGGGGTAGTGTCCATAAGCAAGTATAAGCCTGCTGCCAAGGGCTTGAGAGAGTGAAGTGTTGTTAAGAATCAGTTGAAAATAGTTTATGATACATGTAAGTTGTGGGCTGAAGATAACAACTAGTGATGTTCAGTCATTTTCTATGTCTGTCTTGTAGGAGTTTAGTACTGGGTATTCTATATAAGGCTACCGGGAGAGATAATCATATGTGGAGCTTGTGTCATCAATATGCAAATGATACACAACTCTGTCTCTCCTTCAGTCCATCTGCAGTAGATGCTGTCAGGTGCCAAGAAATCTGTCTTGGTTACAGTCCTGGACGGGACAAGGTACAGCAGGCTGAAGCTGAATCCAGACAAGATGGAGATCATGTTGTGGGCAAGGGTCTTCATCTACCTATCTGGGGGGGTATTTCATTAAAACTTGAGGGAGTTACCCTTCCTGTTAAGGAGCAGGTGCACAGTTTAGGCATGATTTTAGATCCAGTGCTGACCATGGAAAGACAGGCCTCCGCTATGGTGCATTTCAGCAAATTGCCCAGCTGCATTCCTACCTAGAGGACTGCTCCGTAACAACATTCATCTATGCACTGGTAGTTTGAAAAATAGACTCCTGTAATGCACTCTACATGAGGCTTCCCCTGAAACTGGTACAGAAGCTTCAGGAGGTCCAGAATGCAGCAGCCAGATTGGTTGCTAGGTTGAGGACGTCTGCCCATATCACACCAATCTGGTCTACCTCCATTGGTTACCCGTCCTCTTCTGTGCTAGGTTTAAGATTTTGGTTCTAACATACAAAGCCCTAAACAGTTTGGGACCACAGTACTTGTCTAAACATCTTCTGCCAAGTTCAGCTGCCCATCTGACTCAGTCCACACAGGCCTAATGCCTGCAGCTGTTAACAGCTAGAGAAGCTTGGAGAATGGTAACCTTCTTTGCGGAATGCTTTCCCACGGCAGGTGCCCTCCCTTTGTATATTTAAAAAGCTCTTAAAAACTAAGATGTTCAGAGAAGCTTTGGGGGAGATTCTGCCCAACTAGCTGGGTCAGTAGATAAAGGAATACGGTAGTGTATGTTCCATTAGGGGTACTGCCACCAATTTTGCAGTTTTTTCTTTATGCTAGTGTCTGTAGCACTTATATATGTTTTATATTTTTGTTCTACACTGTCCAGAGTGAATAAGTGAGTGAGTGAGTGAGTGAGTGAGTGAGTGAGTGAGTGAGTGAATGAATGAATGAATGAATGAATGAATGAATGAATGAATGAATGAATGAATGAATGAATAACTATTCATCTTGCCCACTTAATTTGATCTTTGACTATATTGGGTAAATATTGTAGTCTGAGAAATGCCCGTTGTAGGGCATTAAGACTGGATTGCTGTAGCTGAATGCTCTCACATCCCATAAAATATATAAAAGTGAAATATATTCTTGTTGTTCATTTTTCAGACCTCTCTACAGACACTCAATAAAGCAATAGCAGGTTTTGTAGTGATGTCAGAAGAAATGGAGAGAGTGTACCATAGTTTCCTCAACAACCAGGTTCCAGCATTATGGGCCAATGCAGCATATCCATCACTGAAACCTTTAGGGGGCTGGGTAAAAGACCTTGTGCTAAGGACGAACTTTGTAGATGTAAGTACAAACCCTAGTCATATTCAGGGATAGTTAATTTATATTTTAGAGTTGTTGAGGAGAAATTTAAAGAAATGGCCGAGACACTCTGTAAGTGTCCTGCTGGTGGGTCATCCAAGCAGAAAGAACAAATGGATACATAGCACCAGAGACCCTCTGGTCCTGAGGGTGTTAGATCAAGAGGGGAAAATAGAAAAGAGTAAAGTCAAGTCGTGGTGTTTTCCAGTTGTTACATCTTGGCTTCTGTCCTGCTTGAATTACTAAGTGCCAGCTATGACTCCCAACAAATAAACAACCCACTGAACATTTTTTTGCTTCATATTTGGCAAAGTGAAACCAATATTCTTCAGTCTTGGCACTGTCTTTAATGCAGGGGTTACTGTAGTGACATTATTGCTTTCCCCAATTGGATTAACTTGTTACTTCCAGTAGATAAACATTTAGTAGGCAAAAAACCAACAGTGGAAATTAAAGTGCATTCTGCATTTGAAAAAGAATGCAGATACATATTTGTTGTTGATTGCACTGCTTTCCAACTTGGAAGGTTTCCATTGTTTTGATTTCTGCAGTTCTGTTGCACCCATTAAAATAATTAGTTGCTGGTGGCAAATGTTGCAGGCCTGTCTGCAATTCCCAGCAGTAATCTGATCCAGAGACAGTAAACCAATGCAAGAAAACAGCTTTTCTTCTGTGGAGTGATTGCACTAAAGGCCTCAATAGGCAACAGAATACTAGTGGTAGTGTTGTTTGAAGTCTCCTTAAAGTCAGCCAGATGATGGGGGAAATGGGAGTAATGAAAAGTGGGTGCCTCCTCCCCATCTGGCAAAACCAGTTTCAGAAGCACTGTACTGCTCCTTTCTCTTTCTAGATGATGCTGATTGCTAGATAGAGGCTGGGCGTCTTCAGCTTCTACTGTGCTTTAGAGAAGGCATTCACTCTCATCGGTCTGTGAGCTTCACAAAGACAGCCCTCTGCTATGCTGTGGATCCTCTGGCTTTGGTAGAGAAAAATAAAAGAAGCCACCTCCTTTCAGATAAAGAAGTAGAACTGTGGCCCACCCCAGCTCTATTGCTTCCGAGTGCAAATAACATGAAGCTAGTGCATTGTTTGATATCCAGTGCAATGTAGCGGATAGAATGACAGACTGGGACTTGGGTTCAAATCTCCACTCAGCTATGGAAACTTACTGGGGCAGTGGAACTGACTAAACCACTCCTTAAATATCTCACTTACTTTGAAAAGCCCTATTAGGGTCACTGTAAGTCAATTCCGTCTTGACAGCACATAACAACAGTGTATTGTTTAATAATTTAAGTGGAAATGTGAAGTTTTGCATCTAATGTGTAACAGCTTTTTTTGTTTGTTTGTATTAGTTCTGGCTTAAAAGAGGTCAGCCTAAATCATTCTGGATCTCTGGTTTCTTTTTTCCACAAGGATTTTTAACAGGTAAACATTAATCATTCCTCTGCTTCTGATATTCAAGATTTACAGCTATTATACATGTAACCAAAACAGCACTTTCACCACATCAAAAGGGAAGTGCCAGCTCACTTGAGGAACCCTCAAGCTTTGCAGAATTGCAGCCCCAAACCCCACTTCTGAAAAACCAAAATAAAAAAACACCTTAATGAAAACTGAAAATGCTTTGTGGCCATGAAAAAAATATCAATGGAAGGGTGAAAACTGAGTATGAAGGGGCATGGCTGACCAGCTGCAGCATTAAACAGTGCACTGCACAGCAACATTTTGCTATGGTTGTCACTGTTGATAAGTTACGTAGGACTTTTCTTTAAATTGCACTGAGGATTGTACTGTAGGCACAAATGCACATTATAAAGCAGAACCCAACATGGATATGAATGCCAAATTGCCAGCTTTGATTGATGGAGCTTCTGGTATTTATAAATACAGTGAGCTTATTCCCAGCAAATTGTTTGCAACAGAGTTATCAGCAGACCAATGGGTTAAGCCAAGAAATTTATATTTCTGTGACCACCTGGCGCCCTTGACACACACTAATAATAAGGCTCTACCCTGCCTTACTCATTTCACTACTAAATGGGAAGGATTTAAAACCGTGTTGATCTCCTTAAGTTTCACAGCTGAACTACTGGGAGAATATCTTCCACAGCCAGACACAATCATTCAGGTTAATGATGATCCTTGTGAACAACCCTCCATATTAACTGAGAATACCGTCTTGACTGAGACTTCACTGCAACAGTTGGATATCCAGCAAGCTTCTCTTGTTTCTTTTGATAACAAGGCACAAACACACACACACACACAAACCCAACAACCCCCCCCACACACACACACACAATTATGAGTCCATATCACAAGTTTCACCCAGGGGCATGTGCATCATTTCAATGTGTTTCCCAGCTAGTTTTGTTCCAGTTTGACATGGTTTTTCAGTCTGCTCTGTTTGTGGAAAAATTGGCCATGTGTGACCTTTAATTTTCTCAAGAGCATACTGATTGAAATTTTTTTGTTGTTTAATTGTTAAGTCATGTCCGACTCTTCGTGACCCCATGGACCAGAGCATGCCAGGCCCTCTTGTCTTCCACTGCCTCCCAGAGTTTGGTCAAATTCATGTTGGTAGCTTCGATGACAGTATCCAACCATCTCGTCCTCTTGCCCTCACACTTTCCCAACACCAGGGTCTTTTCCAGGGAGTCTTCTCTTCTCATGAGATTTAGTGTCTTGGAAATAGTCTTTAGTCCTCTCTTGCAATATTGCAGGTTGAAACTAAAAGAGCAGGGATGATTGTTTTATTAGTTAACCCCCTGAAGTCTGGTCTTTTAATACTGTAAGAAAATGTGGACATACTAGAATTAAAGGGCTTTAATGCCCATTAGAATGAAAGTCTAAGGCTGAAAGACACTGCCGTTTGTGTCTCCTGTCATATCCTTATGTCCAAACTATCTCACGGACCGCATCTCCCATGATGAGCCTGCTTGGATGTCAGGAGAGGCCTTTTTATTGGTCCCACCACTTTCACAATTGCATTTGGTGGGAACACAAAAGGGGGGCCTTATCTGTTGCTGCTCCCACTTTGGAACTCTCTTCCAGCAGCAGCCAGATTGGCCCCATCTTTGCTATTTTTCTGCAAGCAGACAAAGACCTTTTTGATGTATTTGCGAAGAAAGACCTTTTTCTTCAGGCAGGCTTTCCCTCAACGACCACCTTTTTCTTCAGGCAGGCTTTCCCTCAATGACCGGCTGCCTGAGTGGGTTTTTAAATAGGATTATTATTAAAGATGGGAATATTCATCTTTTGCCTGAGTGGGATTTTAAAATGGATTGTTATTAAAGGTGGGAGTATTCATATTTATATACAAATATCCCCACACAGGTGGCATCAACGAGGGTCCATCCCCGTGGGGCCGGAGGGTCCACTCACCAATCCGATACAGGTGGCAATAACAAGGGTCCAGCCCCAATCCGACGCAGATGCAGACAGTGCGGTTCTACCAATGGCTCCAGAGTGCGCAATCCGCTTGCCACTCCTGGCAGAAGGTGGGAGGACAAGCCTTGCTGCAAGGTCGAAGAGTGACAAGCGGATCGCGCACTGTGGAGCCACTGGTAGAATCGCACCATTCACGTCTGGTGAGTGGACCGTCTTTAACGCCATCTGTTGTGGAGCCACTGGTAGAATTGCACCATCCACATCTGCGGTGGATTGGTGAGTGGACCCTCATTAGCCCCCATCTCTAATTGTTATGCCTTACTGCTTTAAATGTGTTTTTGGTATTACTTGTGTTTACCATTTCTCAGAGTGCTGTTTGTTTGATCTTTTTTTTTAGTATTTACATATTTATTGTTTTTAAATTTAAATTTGAATACCCCCATCTCTAATTGTTATGCCTTACTGCTTTAAATGTGTTTTTGGTATTGCTTGTGTTTACCGTTTCTCAGAGTGATGCTTGTTTGATCTTTTTTTTAGTATTTGCATATTTATTGTTTTTAAGTTTAAATATTGCCATCTAGTGATGTAAGCCACCTTTGTATACCCATTGTTTTAAGTTTAAATATTGTCTTCTAATGTTGTAAGCTACTTCAGGTTTTTTTTAAGGAGAATGGCAGGGTAAAAATGTGTTAGTTCCCTGGAAAGGCCAATATTTCACCATTTGTAAGCCACCTTTGTATACTCATTGTTTTAAGTTTAAATATTTTCTTTTAATGTTGTAAGCTACTTCAGGGTTTTTTTAAGGAGAATGGCAGGGTAAAAAATGTGTTAGTTCCCTGGAAAGGTCAATATTTCACCATCAAATGCTAATTTTTAAAAATAGTACATTTGTAACCGCACAGACCTATACATGGCCCAAATGGCACACTGATTGGAATTATGTATTCTAAATGACAAGGCCACAGGAGTGAGTGAATGGAAGAGAGCCAGTCAAACTGACAATGACCATCTTCCATTGAATTTGATTTTGTGGCCTCTTGGGTGCCACATCCATACTGATGTCCTGTCATTTGATCCTGAAGCAGCTGCAAGAAATACCAGGATTAGATGGTCCAAGATGGTTGACAGTTGCTTCTCTGAGTTGCTAAACACAGGCCACTTTAGCATGAGTGGTGCAATATTAAGAGTACGATGACCTGTTGACAAAAGAGCTAATGGAGTTTGTGGTGAAGAACTCTGGGCAAGCACTGACTAACAAACTCAGGTTAAAGGAGAGTGTTGCTGCAAAGAAAGCCCAGACTTCTAAATTTCAGCTTTATAAGGAAGATCTGACCCTCTGCAAACATTCCCCAGGGCCCACATGATTGCAGCACTCTCGGACTCCTTTCACTGCTCAAGTGACTGTATCTGGGCAATATAAAGAAGGATCTTATTTAAGGAAATAGTACCTGCGTCAGAATTGGTTACTAATTGTATCAATGGCGTCTTATAAATTCAGAAGTTTATATGAAGACTCTGTTGCTATTTTTTTTTCTGCATTAACAGAAGTAGTAAGAATATTAAACTATTAGTAAAATAGTTCTATATTAACCAATATGCTGTAATAAATGTTTAAGATTCCACTACAAAATGGTATACTGTACTTCCATCTTTTCTTTGCTTCCAAGTTGCACAGCAATGGGGTTTTCAGTGACATCATGTTCTAAGCAATGCCATTCAAAATATGAACATTAATTCATCAGGTGGATTTTCCCCCAGGAGGCAGTGAGCTTTTTATTAGGAAATGGACCGTCACACTCCCTTTTCTGTGTATGAATCCAAGACAACATTCCAGTTCCTTTCTCCAATCATGTCTATGTTTGTGTGTATGTGCGTGAATGTCTTTAATTATGTAACCTATTCTGTTTCTCAGGAACTCTTCAAAATCATGCTAGAAAATACAATTTACCAATCGATGAGCTTAGTTTTAATTATAATGTCATTCCTGTCTACCGTGATCAAATGCATGTCGCCGAGGCGTATAAAGCAAGCCACTTTGGACAAGAATTATCAATGGATGCCGAGGTACTGAAGTTCCCTTATTTATGATCAATTTCCAATCGCACAAAAAGAAAAAAGGAATTATAGGAATTATCTTTTCATAAATTAGTATTTTTTTTCCTTTATAGGAGTAACTACCTTGTATATATAAAATTAAGATTTATGTTCATATATCCAAAAAATACATATTCATCTAAGGCGTGGCATATTATTACCAGCGCATGAGTAGTGAGACCAGTTATTCACTTCACTTAAGGCTGAAGTGTACCTTTTACACTTAAGTATTGTACTTGCTTTGTTTTTCACCCTTTGCTATTCCTTTCAGCTACCCTCTCCTGAGGATGGTGTGCTGGTCCATGGGATGTTTATGGATGCTAGTCGGTGGGATGATGAAGAAATGGTTATAGAAGATGCCTTGCCTAGACAAATGAACCCCATGCTACCCGTGATACATTTTGAGCCCCACCAGAATTATGAACCAGACCCATCGTTGTATCATGCCCCACTCTATAAAACTGGTGCCAGAGCAGGAACACTGTCTACCACAGGTAACCTTTTCTATACTCAAATTAACAGTATATGAATATAATATGTAATTTTGATCGGTTTTATACATAGCATGAAAATTCTACAGATATACTGTAGGCAATCTAGACATGAACTTACCTCCACTATTACAAGTAACCCATATCTCTCGGGAATTTAAAATCTTAATTGGTCCATTAGAAATGATTGATTTTCCAGGGCTTAACTGAGATTGGGGCTGGCAATCTGAATAAAAGCAGAAGACACTCAGGAAGTTTCTTTTCCTTCCAAGAGTTTTACATTTGCTTATAAGTACTACATACATTCAAGTGAGTTTCCAGTCCACCCACCATTATCTGGTTACTGCTCCAGTAGCGAAGTAGGGGTTTTCAATGATGCTAGAATTTGCTCCTTATCCTTCCTTCTCTTCAAATGGGAATAAGGTTTGGATGTCTTTTTTGCAATGAGCTTTAGTCTCTTTCCCTGGTTCCTAGAATTCTGGGAAATATATTGTTCCGGAGCCTCTAATATTGTCAGGCACCAAAGGAAAAGAACACTTCCCAGTGTTCTGGGTGCAAAGGCAGGAAAGGAGAGCACAGAACAAGGTAATGTGTCCCTTTTTCCATTGCTAAATGAGCAGCAGCTGCTTAAACACTTTCCTGCAGACACACTCTTTCCAAGTAATTCACAGAAGGTTGTTCTGACTACCATGGGTTTCCAGGCCCATTAATTATTTAATGAAAGGTCCTGAGAAGAATCCTGGTGGATGCAGAGGATAATCCAGAATCTAGTCCCCTGGAGGAGTTCACTTGCCAGCCGTGCAGGACAGGAGTCACACTATGTATGTAGAGTTTCTGGGGATTTTTTAAAAAAGTAACCTCTAGGGCACAACATGTTCAAAAATGCACATTCGTGCTGTGAGGTTACTTTTTTAAAAATACAGAGAGTCTGACAGAACTCATAGTCTCAGGCTTGGCAGCAGGAGTTTCAGAAGCTTGCAAGCCATTCGTTTTCCTTCAGATCATGTTTTCAATCCCAGCTAGCGCTCACCTGACTGCTTCCCCTTTTGCCCATCCATTCCCCCTTTCTCTCCTCTCTCTTCATCCCGCTTACCCAGCGCAGTGGCAACAACAAGCCACACGAGGTGCACTAAACAGGAGATTAGGTTCCCCTACCTACAATAGCATCGTGCCAGAAGCTAGCCCCTGCAAGGAAAGAACAGGCACGTGCACTCATCTGGTCTGCCACAATGCTCTGCCATGCCAGGTGACATGGCCACAGGGGCAAAGGAAAGAGAAATAGATCATGTTCTTTTCCCCTGCTGGCCACTGCTGCCACCAGACTAGACCATGACATGGCTAAAGCATGTGAGAGCATTGGCCAGATAGGAGGGAGGTCTTTTGGAGGAGAGATGACTGTTTTCTGAGCCAATTTGATCCGAGCCTGAGAGAAGTCACCCATTCCTCTTTTTGTTTCATACTTCCTCCAAGCGGAACCTCCCTTGTTGGACTGAGGTGGGCAATGACATTCAGATGTCAAGGAGCAGCCAAAGTGCTTGATTGGCTCATGTGTGGTAGGAATTCATTGGTAAACTGCAGACCATTTCTTTAGTTTCACAAGGACCAGTGACAATTTCTGAGGAAAGTTTTAACATGTTCTGTGCATGCAAAAATTTGATCATGCTGCCTGTATTTTGAAGAGAGGAACAAGCTCTGATTACTAAATAGGACAAAAGATCTGTATGCATGTAGGCTTCCTTAGAAGCTGGCCCAGACCAAGAGAGCCGCAATACAGGGCTGGATAGAATCTGTTGGGATCCTAGTTATATTCAGGCTGTACTTAGTCTTAATGGCATGACTGAGTTGTACTACTACTTCTTATCATTATCATCCTTGAACTGTAGAACTGGAAGGGGCCCTACGGATCATCAAGTCCAGCTTCTGTCAGGGAAGTGCTGTACAGAATCAAACCTAAACCACTGAGCTGTCCAACAATTTTTACATTTTTATGTACAGTGAATTTAACTGACTTCATATTTTTAAAATAATTAGCAGCTTGTGGGAGCCTACACAGGTTGACGTAAGGTAACAACTCTCTCCTCACTTTCTAACTCAGGTCATTCTACCAACTTTGTGGTTACCGTCTTACTGCCGTCAAAAAAGCCAAGTGATTACTGGATATCCAAAGGGTCTGCCCTGCTTTGCCAACTGAATGAATAATCAGGCAGATCTCTGTCTGCTACCGAGATGTCTACTATACGATTACTTTGTATCCCAGGTGCCAAGTTGTAAGATTACATCAGTGTCATAGCCATGGTATTGGTATCCTTTATAATCAAACTGGCAGAACACCACTCCTGCCTTCCGACTGATTTTTTTTTACTATTTCCATTGGACTGCACAAACAAGTTGGATGTAGTGTTCATTGCACATTTTTCCTGTCACATATTTACTTACAACTTTTATGTTCTCTCAATTTTCTATGCTTTTTTTAAAAAAAAAATCTACACTTAATTGAACTTACATGGTTCAAACATGCTTTGCATGAAAATTACAACTTATTGCGCATTCTGTGGTATACACTTTTATATCTCTTATTTTATTTGTGAATATAAATTGCTGTTGTTTCAGGAAAAAATATTGATAGTCAGCCTTTGGGTTTTTTTAAAATCTGTTTATCTATAAAATGTAAGCAATAAATATTTCATGCATATACACAAATAAAGAATAGCTATGGGACTTTTATATAGGAAACACATTGATCAAGATGATTTGGCAGCTTGCAAAAGACTTGAAAATGTTTACATTCTACGACAGACTAAATAAATTAATTAATACTAGTAATAATAATGCACTCCTGCACTGCACACACCTGTGTACAAGCTTAGTTTTTCTTTATATAAAAGAATGGGATAAGTTGTGATTTAGGGTGGTTCAACATTATCACATCATCATCTGTTTGTCTGAAGGCTTCATTAGGTGATCCACAGTGATTCATGGCTGTTAATAATAATCTATATGGCAGCTTTGCCCCTCTATCTTAATGGGTTTCTCCTTTAGTCTCTGCCATCTACATGTCTATATTTTTGTCACATATTGGCTACAGTCCCTCTTACTCTGCCCTAGTCAGCTCACAAGAACTGAATGCACAGTTAGGTACATGAGAAATGGCAGCAGAAATGTCTATCCCATTCAAAGCCAAATATACTGAGTCTTGTTTTGCTGATCATCCCTCAGTCCAAAATGTATGCAAATCAATATAAGGGCAATTATAATACTGTGTAGCCACAACATTCAGGTTAGGAAAAGGAGACACTGAAATTCCTGTAACAGAAAAACTGAAAATTAGACACTGAAAACATTTTTTAGAAAAAAGACTGTTGCATTGACTTTACATCATTACCCACTGGAGAATAATTTCAGACAATCACAGTGATAATAAAAGCTAAAACTTGCCATTTATTTGGCAAACTGCAACAAACAATATCATTCAAGGCTGAAGTGATACATTGTCATTGATGAAAAATGTGTTAAGCAGAGACGCAAAATGAAAATACTCAAGATGACACATTTAGCAAAGAACATGTTCCTAGGGAGGATTTACCAATGCAGCAAGATGTTCACTAGTGTTTTCATAGTAGTACACTTAACTTTAATATTTACTTGGTAATGCTTATGCTGTATATCTGGTTTCTTATCTAATATTTATTAGAGGTCATGACCACAAGTACAGAAATAAGACTTTGTTTGAGAGTCAGGTACTTAATTTTGTACTTCTTATTGGTAACATCGGGGGATAATTTCATGATGAAACATTTTCCGATGCCTTTCCTCCACTGAAGTCAGCATAGAAAAGTACACTTCCCCATCTTATTTGTTTAGCAAAATTAATGGCATCAATTAATAAACTCCAGTTACACTGGTAGTTTTTCCTGTTCATTTCTGCAATCTTTATGTAAAATCTTTTGTAACAGCTTCGATAAAATTTGGGGCCGACATTAATATTGTGAGTGTGCAGATGATGGCAAAGAGGGAAAATGCCACGAGGCACAATCTGTCTATGACGGCAGCAGCAAATTTCCATTCGCTGCAGACCTCTTCTCCTTCATCCTGTTTTCGGAAACGGGCTGCGATGAACTGGACCTCTTCCAGGATTTTCACTATCACTGGGATAGTATCCATTAAAGCTTTTCTTTGAGCAATTTCAGCATCTTCAGGTGGAGAGTTGGAGCCCTTCCCACCTTTGTTGCCCATGTCACTGTTCTGTGGACAACAGGGATGTTCCACAGCATTGTAGCTGTAGATCACATTGCCATTGCTGGATTGATGTCCTGGTAGGACGTTCATTTCTACACTGCTGACACTTGACTGATGCCTAGAGTACTTGCAAGAAAGCGGCCTTATGCTCTCTCCAGGTTTTTTCATTCTCAAAAACCAAGCACACCAGTTCAGCAAAACAACACGGACCTGAAAAACACAGAGAAGAGTAAGTGCATTTCATATAGGTGTTGAGTGACTTATTTAATAGCAAGCTGTAATTGCACAAGAGCGTCAGGTGAAATGTATTTCACAAAGGGATATTATCATTCTGTAAATTGGTACAGGAAGAATCAAGAGTTCATTGCCATTCAGAGCAAAGCAAATGTCCCAGACTTTTAGTGTCAAATAAGCATGCCAGATAGAAGTATTTTTCTTGTTTCCTAAATGGAAATTCCTATTTCAGCCCACTGACCTGAAAAATATAATGCCTTTACAGGCAGGTTAGAACACCCCTTTTTATAACAGGCAGGATGCCTGAGACTATCTGACATCTTGGAAATAAAAATTGTGGATAACTTTCTGAAAAAAATGGATAACTCCAAAGAAAGTGAAATTTGGTTGTTGTGGGTTTTCTAGGCTCTTTGGCCGTGTTCTGAAGGTTGTTCTTCCTAACGTTTCGCCAGTCCCTGTGCCCGGCATCTTCAGAGGACAGCACTCTGTGCTCTGGGCAGAGGAGCACAGAGTGCTGTCCTCTGAAGATGCCGGCCACAGATACTGGTGAAACGTTAGGAAGAACAACCTTCAGAACACGGCCAAAGAGCCTAGAAAACCCACAACAACCATTAGATCCTGGCCGTGAAAGCCTTCGCGAATATAAAGTGAAATTTGTCAAGATTTTCATAACATGGTTAAAAGCCTCTGAAACTGGTATGTTCTTGGCAGTCATTGTTCATATCCTTGGCAGGCACAGCACTCCGCCTGTTCTCTGGCTTGCTCTTCTACATGCCAACAATCACTCCATTCAAAGCAAGGGGCTGTCCACTTGTGGCAGGGGTTAGTGAATTCCACGCTGCCCAAGCAGTGGAGAAATAGGGATGCCTGTTAAGTCCATAAACAGATTTAATCATCATCATCATCATCTTAGAACTGCAGAGTTGGAATGGACCCTATGGATCATCAAGTCCAGCCCGTCATGGAGGCACAGTGGGGAATAAAACTCTCGCTCCACAGCCAAATGTCAATACCACTGAGCTATCCAGCAGTATGGTTTTGAAAGTGATTAGATTTACTGAATGTAACACATTAAGTCCACTGCTGTGCCACAATCTATACTTTCTTGCCTCTTTCTATGCCACTTCTCAACTAACATTCAGGTGGGAAGATTTTCAGAAGAATTTCAGAGCAGGGTGGAAAAAGCACCAAAGAGACTTTGTGTCAAAGCAAGGCACCCTTCAGTCTCTTCACCCTTTGGTCATATTTGCCTATGTAACATCAACTTAGCATGTGAATCTCACAATTTCTCATTCTTGATGAGAAACCAAGAAAAAAATTATCTCCCTTCTCCTTACAATGAGATTCCCCCCCCCCCAAGAAATCTTGCAAGAATTTTCTGTGAAATGTGGTGATTTTTCTGCAGGGAAATGGCAATCTGTACAGGAGTATTACAACTCTGGCACAGATGGCACCTTTCCTGTGCAGAATTCATTGGAAAGAAAACAAAGCTGTGTAGAATTTGACAATTTCTGCACAAAACAGGAGAAAACAGAGAGAGAAATGAAAAGTGGGGTTCTTTTTCCACCCATCCTCAGGAGGCCAAGAAATCTCTCTGGTCGAAGGGCAAGTCTTGGAAAAGACTCAAACAAAATTTTGAGTATGCATCACATCCCTAACATAAGCCAGCATTCACATCCCTAAGGAAAATGCCTCTTGAAGCTTTAAAAATAGATAGTAAATAATAAATCATGATTCCAAATGATGAAGCTTTATGAAGGTAATGGATGAAGATTAGAAGGAACAGGGAAGAAAAACCTGGAAGAGTTGCAAAAATGCAATGAAATAGGCTCTCTAAACATTCCAGATCAGAGATGTGCAACTGTATAGACACAGATACATCTCTGACAACAGAATTTGGACATTTGAGGAACATGCCAGATTTAGCACGTATGCAAAGAGGTCAGTATCCCATTTGTATCCCAAATAGATGAGACCCATTGATTCAGTGGGATTTACATACTGCTGACTGTTTACAAATTGATTCAGTGGGTCTGAATCTCTAGTTGAGACTAGCAATAGGATACTGGCCAGAACATCCAGGGCAATGGATCACTGGTACCATGCAAAAGTTCAAAAAGGCAGAAATAAAACACTAGAATTAAGACATGTCTCTAGTCTCTACTGGCAGACAGAATCAGAAAACGGGTGGGAATTTCTACCGTGCATGAAGGATGCTGGAAATAAGGCTGACTGCTGGGACACGAAGACACAACATTTTAACAGCACACTGTATTCTAAAAAGACACAGGTACTTATTTTTAGGCCTTTCCCCACACCATTAATAAATAAAAAGTAGCATCTCTGAAATGTTGGATCTTTACTAGCTGGCACAAAAGAGTAATTCCTTAAGAATTCCTGTTAAAACCTCCGGCCTCTGACTTAGTGAGAACCGTATAACCTTTCTTAAGGGCATTACTGGTATTTATATGAACTCTGCTGAAGCCAGAGAAGTAATGCATACTGAACTCTCCTTGTTTCTAGTAACAAGACTGCAGCTCTTTTTCCCCCTTCATCCTTACTGATCTCAGCAGAAATGGAAAGTCACATTTGTGGCAAGTGAAATATGCTTAGATATTCATTATCATTTTACCGTATAACCTTTCTTAAGGGCATTACTGGTATTTATATGAACTCTGCTGAAGCCAGAGAAGTAATGCATACTGAACTCTCCTTGTTTCTAGTAACAAGACTGCAGCTCTTTTTCCCCCTTCATCCTTACTGATCTCAGCAGAAATGGAAAGTCACATTTGTGGCAAGTGAAATATGCTTAGATATTCATTATCATTTTATATAACTGACCTTAGTAAATACAAAATGTCAAATAAATAAATAAATA